AAATCAGGGCTAAGTGTCAGACTGTCTCATTTTGAAGACTGATGTTCAAATAAAGGCTTTCCCATCCTATCTTAATAATGTCATTAAAGCACTGTCAGTAGAAATTTCTCACTTGGCGGCATATGCTGGGGAGGAGCTCAAGTGGGAAAGGCCCTAAGTAAACACAGAACGATGGAAAATTATGTAACTGGCCCAAATGGGCTAATTAAATTTCCAGTATCAAAGAACTGTTCTACCCTACCTGGTAACTGCAGCCACTTTTTGCAAGGTAAGGAGAAAAGCGGAGTGGGGGTGCGTATTTAGTGCAGCATCATTAGCGGTGTGTAGGTGGAGGGAGAAAGGTGAATGACTGCAGAATGGGCAGCACGGGAAACAGCCGCAAATAGTCAAGCGGCCCCAGCTGATTTCCTCAGAAATTGTGCTGGGGAACTCCTGCACCCCGGGGACCTCCTGGCACAAACAGCATCGTCATCACTGGCGGCAGGAAAGCCATCCTGCAGGTGAAGCATCCCATGTCTGCCAGCCGCGGTGACTGCCTGTGAGCCTCCTTGCTCCTCAGCAGAGCCTCGAGGAAACTTCTCAGCATAAAGATTTCCAGTTGTGGCACTCACAAGTGCTGGAAGGATATGGCAAACCACTGAGCTCGTCCAAGAGGCTGTTCCCGTCCAGCTCCTGTTGGGGGGACAGGCTCCCCTTGCAGCTCCTCCGCGATTGATCTGGAGCCCCGCTGCCCGACCCGGCTCTATGCACTTAGTGGGATTCACAGGACGTGAAAGGAAATGTAAAAAATGGCCCTTTTCCAAACACTGCAAAGCTAAGGGTAAATATCGGCATGGTAAATATTGTTTTATAATGGTCAATATTGTTTTTAAAAAGTTGCATCTGGCAAATGCTGGATGTGTGAATCTAGTATTTCTTCTCTTCTCATAAAATGGACTAATCAGCTCTTGGGTATTTATCTTCATCAGCTAAATGGTTGTGAACACAATTTTGATTTTTTAACTGATCACATAAGAATTGTTGTGCAGATAATTGGTTCTTGGACAGTTGCTTTGAAACATGCCTCTCTTACTGTGACTCAGGTTTCTGTCAAAGGGGAAGATGAAGCCAGCCCTGCCCTTGGATTTGAAACCTGACATGGGCTCCATCTCGAATCACAGCTATTTCAGAAATGACACGGACTCCTCTGAAGATCAGTCTTTTTCTTTGTTTGATGTCCATATTTTGGTGCCCGTGACTATAATTTCCATCATCCTGTTTTTCTTGGGAGTGTCTGGGAATTTGATAACAATAGTAATTTTCAGACGCTCACAGGAGATGAAGACGACTGTGAACATGTACCTGTCCAGCATGGCACTGTCAGACACGCTGATTTTCCTTGGCCTGCCTTCAGATCTCTACCGCCTTTGGAAGTACAAGCCCTACATATTTGGGGATTTTCTCTGCAAGTTCTTCATTTACCTGAGCGAAACGTGCACATACTGCACCATCCTGCACATCACGACAGTGAGCGTGGAGAGATACTTCGCCATCTGCTTTCCCCTGAAAGCCAAAGCCACCATCACCAAGTACCGGGTGAAATGGGTCATCCTGGCGCTGTGGGGCTGCTCCCTCCTGACCGCTGGCCCCATCCTCTTCCTCTTTGGGGTGGAACACCCCAACGGCAGCCTGCCCCAGGAGAGCTGGGAGTGCAGGTCCATTGAGCGTGTGGCACGCACAGGGCTGCTTGAGACGATGACCTGGGTCTCCACTATTTATTTCTTCCTGCCGATGCTCTGCTTGACTCTGCTGTATGGACTCATCTGCAGAAGGCTCCGGCGGAGCGGGCAGCAGCTGCCGGGCTGCCAGGCTGTGGGCAGGAAAAGGTCACACATGCAGACTGTCAAAATGCTGGGTAAGAGTGGTTTAGAAACCAAATCTGAAGATCTGTCATTTTTAATCACTCCCACGGGGTGTACAGCGACGCGGGAGGTAATGGAGAGGAGGGACAAAACACACAAGAGTTACACAGATTTAAAATCAATGGATTTACACTTAGTTTTTCTTCCTGGCTCTTTCTGTTGAGAAGGGGTGTCCCTGTCTGCACGGTATTCAGGCTGGGGATGTCACCGCACAGCAGGGAAGCAGATCAGCTTTTGGTTCTTTTGAGATCCCATTCCTCATGTCCCCCCACTATCTCTGACCTTGTGGGATTAAATTAAAGAAATTGGAAAATTCTGTGACTTAAAACCAGACCAGGCAGTTCCCCTGCTGTGGCAAGGAAAGGTTTTAAAGCTATTTCTCTTGCAAAATTTCTCAAGTTTAGTGATGATGGCTTTGTCCAGGATGGCAACAACCGACCTGTCTGGGCTTAGTTGAACGTGACCTTTGTCCTGGTACCTGTGTCTTGGTGCAGACACTGAAACCAGGAGAGTTTGGGTCTCGTCTCCTCCTCCCCATCCCTCCAACCACTCCCTCTCAAGACACACACCTCCCAGATCCTTGTCCCCAGGGAAGCATCAGCACCCATGACTGGAGATACCTTCAGTAAAACATCCTGCAGCTATCCACAGGTTGCTTCCTGACAGGTTTTATTTGCTTATTGCGTGCTCTACTTCCCATCCTCTTCCTCAGTGCCTCCTTGTCCAGTTTGCTCCCATTTTGCCCCCTCCACTGCCCGGAGGGGGCCCCCACCTCCCCTGTCCCTACTCTTTCTCCTCCCATACCTGTCACAGGATGCCAACGGCCACCGAGATTTTCAGGCCAAGAGTGGGCAGTAGTCCTCAATGTAAGTACAGGCTGCTTTGCCCCCAGCAGATTTGATTCACTTGTCTCCACTGGACAACGTGGGTGTAGAGAGCCCTATTTTAATTGCAGACAATTAATTTTGTGTGCAACCATAAGTCCTTGTTGGTTGAGATTACTGGTAACCACAGCACAAAAGCAGCTGGGCAAGGCAGGAGGTCTCCTCTTTGCTGGGTTGAACTTAGCAACCTCATGTCAAATCCTTAAATAGTTTAAAGAGGCAGAATAAACTCTGCTCAAGATGACTGAAGTGTGCTCTCTTCCTCTTTAGCTGTCGTAGTCTTGGCCTTTGTGCTGTGTTGGCTCCCATTCCACGTCGGCCGAATCCTCTTCGCCCAGAGTGAAATCATCCTGTATGACCTCACACAGTACTTCAACCTCATCGCCATGCTTCTCTTCTACCTCGGGGCTTCTATAAACCCCATACTTTACAATGTCATGTCACACAAATACAGGAAAGCAATGAGCAAAATCCTGCACCACGAGCAAACTCGGCGCTGCAGGAGCCTGACCAGGAGTGAAAAGGTTTCTTTTGAAGGTACAGAACTCGGTTCTTTTGTGACAAGTGTTCAGCACTGACTTAATTCTTGCAACCCAAGCTTTTTGCCAGCGGTGTTGTGGGTTAAAACACAGGTAGGTGGTGCACATGGGGACTGGAACAAGGTTTAAGGCTGTCTTTTTGACTTCTATGTGTTCCTGAGATAGGTTTGGAACATTTCAGGAAGGCTGGAGTCGATTCACGTTATTCCTGCACATAGGGGCAGGCACATGGGAGGCTGGGCTCTTCTCTTCACTGAGCTTACCAGCCACGTTATCAGGCTTAACTGTCCACAAAGCTCCTGTGAAGGGATTTGCCTCTGTTTTTGAGGACCAGACATCTTGGTAATCACAGACCTGTGAAACATAATTCAAGTTACTTTCTTCCCACAGAAGCCAAGAGAGGGAGAACGTGGAGACTAGAGCCAGGACAGCTGTTTGCTCTCAGCAAATAAGCATAAGAAATACAATCTGCAAGGTACTTGAAAGTGATAAGAAATTACTCGTTTAGCAGGACTATGAACACATTACCTTCTTCCTACAGACTGATTTATTTCTCGCCCCCTCAGGTCTCTTGAGTTGCTTCCCTCATTTTCAGTCTTTTATCTTGTTCTTTATTCAAACTATACCCAGCATGCCACAAAGTCAGATGCCATCTCTGCTAAGCTCTATGGTGAGAAATCATCCTTGGCTTTAGAGCCCATCTGAACGCACCAAATTAGACGTGTGGGCAATCACTGGGGAGCGAAGCAAGAGCAGAAGGCATTTGCCCATCTCCCTTGTCTGTAAAACAGGCAAACACCAAGTTCAGAACACTAGTTCATGGGCTGCCCCAAGACCTCAGGTAAAAGGGTCCCCTGACTGACGCAGCTCTTGGAAAAGAAGGGGACAGTGTTGCACAAAGGTTCCCCACAAATAACTTTTCTTCCAGAAAGATTAAGAAAGCTCTTAATGACATGTAGTAACAATGCTAAACATGTTTCTTCCCCTTAAATTACATACTACACAATGGCTGCTCCTGAGTAAGATTAAAATCCACAAAACCACACGCAACTCTGGAGTCAAATTTGAATACATTTGTATTATTTATTGGCTGTATTAAATATATTATCTATTTGATAGTTACAATTTAGTAATACAATGCATGGCGGCTTTAACATAAGTTTGAGATACCTCAACATTACAATACAAGAAAACTGAAGATACCTAATACATTAATGCCACAAGGGTATATTGTTCTGGAATGGATAACAGCTGATGTAAAATCTGTATTGCGGAAGGCTTTAATGGATAATTTCTGGAAACTTGACTATTTTGCGGTGATTACAAAAGAACTTTCTTTCACTTTTTAGGAGTCATGACTTGTTAGTATTTACTCTGCAATCCTAATTTATCTTTTAAAATTATCAGAAATATTATTGCCAAATAAACCTCTACACACTTTGTTCTAAGAGTTAAAGAAATAACCCTTTGGCAATAGAGATTTGCTGAAGGCAGTCTTATTTGCTAAAAGTAGACTATGAAGAGAAATGAAGACAGATTGTAAACTCTTCTGCAAACTAAAGCCTAATATCTGTATAAAACTCTTTCCAACACTGGAGGGAGAGATTTCTATGATATAATAATAAATGATTAACTTAAAGTTCTGCTACAAGTAGAACAATACATTCAAACATACATTTTCCAGGACTTTTAATCAAAATAAATAGAGTACAAAATGAAGAGTACATTTTGAAAAGATTAATTTCAGATTGCACCATAAATCTACTTTTAAGAGTATTAAGCGATACTATGTCATAATTTAGGTTTTCCACATCTGAAATACAACACAATGCCTCAAACTATAACGCAACATTATTCATCAACTGCCATAGGAGAAAGACCCTTAAAGTGATTAATTACTGGAAATACTTAGCCTGTAGCACTATCACATCCAACATTCCACATACAAGTGCATTGCTCTGATGTATATAAAGTGTAGCCGTAGTCTTTGCAAAATATGCTAAATCTACCTTTCTATGGCATATTCCAAATGCTATTGGGAAGACCCATTCTGAAACATGTTTGAAACTTGTGAGTTCCAGCTTTCAAAATATTTGATATAAAGAAGATAGCTGTCAGGCTCATCTGTAGGTATTCGCAAGCAGATTTAACAAGAACAGTCATATGTAGTGCACAGTGTCCACAAAAAATACCCCCCAGACAAACAGGACGAGTTTCAGAAAAGTTCATAGCAGGCTGAACATTCCCATCTAGAAAACAATGGAATGTGAAGCTGCTACCACTGGGATAGCAAGTTATTTAAAACATTGTATAAATGTTATCTAAAAAGAGTTCTTTCATGTACAATTTGATAATTCAGATTAAGTTAGAAGGGCATCCAAAAGCAGTTTGAACTTTTTATTTTTAGGTTAATAATAGTACAAAAACATTTGCTCAGTTTGAGCCAAATAGTGTAACATTTATCATAAATGCACTCTTTCTCCTTAAAGACAATACCTGTGCTTTTCTGAAAACACTGCAAAGATTTAATCAGAAGCACAGGAAATTACTTTTCTCTCAGGCACTGAGAGTGAAATGTGGATTGGGCCAACAGCTGCTCACCAACAGCAGAAAGCATTTCATTCAGAAATGTACAATACAAAAGGGGCCTTTTCTGCAACGTTACATACGAACGCCATCGCTGTATGCACATTACGTCCTGCTAACATTTGTCTAGCATTTTGATTAAAATTCTAAAAATGCCGGCACCCTCTACTTTAACACTTGAAATGATTATTACTGAATCCGAAATATTAAAATAACTGTAAAGTAGCAATATCACTAAGTCAAAGTCAATATTCTGCTTTCCTTCTACAGTATATTAAATGTGGTATGCTCTAGTAATGTTTTGCAATACAGTACTGCTCTAAGCTTAAGCATTTGTGCTGCTGTATTTCATGTATACCAAACTACAACGATACCTGATTAAACATTGCGGATCGACTACCACTGCTCTAGATGTACTTGGAAAGGACTTGTTCTATCTTCTCTCTCTAACTGGCCAAAGGGCCCCGCTTTGAATTTGACGAGAGGAAGAGTGTGCACACACACCAGTGTGCACAATAAGGCAGTTTTTTGCCGTTTTATTAACAGCTAACCCTGATTACAGAGGACCCAGGATTACCCTTTCTACAAGAAATCTGTGTTCAGTATTTGGAGAGGATCTGCCAACCCAGCCTCACTGTTAGCCAGCAGCAACACTGGAAACGCACGTAACTATACGTTTCCAGCTAGGACTTTAATTAGAACTAACCATAAATACCCGAAATAGCTTTTGTACAAAAAGCTGAGTACTGAAGAGGCTCTTGTCTACTTGATTACAAAGTACTGAATAACAACGGCAAATAAAATAGCAACCACTGCAAATCCGCAGAGAAGAACAATAGCAATGAAGCGCTCTTCACGTAACGTCTTCTTAGTCTCTGCCAACTCCGTCGTCAAATCAGCACATGGTGGAACCAGCTCTTGTTTCTGAGATGAGAACACTGTACTGGGACTGTAAGGTCCATACAGTTCCTGTGATCCAGTCGCGTCTTGGGACTGACGGCCAGCACAGACTCTGATCCGATATTCACAGTTTGTCTGCAAGCTTGTGAGACGGAAGGAAGTCTCTGGTCCCTTGTATACCTAGTCAGCAGGAGAAGAGAGAACCACTTTACGCGGGGTTCGTCTTCGAAACAGTATATGATACTTTCCATTCTGCTTTACGAGCACATGCAGTGCTGGACACTGCCTGAAGTTGTTCTCTTCAAACCTACTTAATAGAATATCAGCTTTTATTTCTGACGAATTATTAACTTTCTTGTGGATAATCCAAAGCTTCCTGCTACGCCCCACACTGACAGACCTGGAGTGTGAAGCTCAGGAAAAAAACATTAAAAAAAAAAAATTGTTCTGCATGACTGTTGTTCCATATAGATCCCCCACAGATGTGGGGCAAATGCTGTCTATGACTAACAAAGGCATCAATGCCACAGACCGTAAGATTTAAGAGAGCAGAAGTCTTACGAGGAGCGTCTGAGGGAACTGGGGCTGTTTAGCCTGGAGAAAGGAGGCTGAGGGGAGACCTTATCGCTCTCTACAACTACATGAAAGAAGGCTGTAGTGTGGGGGAGGTCCATCTCTTCTCCCAGGTAACAGGCAATAGGACAAGAGGAAACGGCCTCAAGTTGTGCCTGGGGAGGTTTAGATTGGATATTAGGAAAAATTTCTTCACTGACAGCGTTATCAAGCACTGGAACGGGCTGCCCAGGGAAGTGGTTGAGTCACCATCCCTGGAGGTATTGAAAAGGTGTGCAGATGTAGCGCTGAGGGACATGGTTTAATGGTAGCTTGGCAGTGTTAAGTTAATGGTTGGACTTGATGATCTTAAAGGTCTCTTCCAACCAAAACGATTCTATGATTCTGTGAATCAAAAGAGCCAAGGGAAGTGCTGGGAGAACAGGACAAACCAGCATTAACCTTCTTCTAGACAACCAATTCTCCCAATAACTCTCAAGCCCACCTTCACAGTCATTTGCTTTTACAGTACAAGCAAAGGGTCAACAGGGAAATGAATCTTTATGACCCTTAATCCGGGACAACCTTTGACGCTGTGAAGAGGCAGAATGGCAGGACCCTATACTGGAAGCTGTCCTCACCCATCACAAACTTAAAGCCTCATTCAGAGGAACTGACTGAGACCTAGAATGAAGCACCTTGGGAGTCAGGGATGGTAAAATGAGTCCCTTGCTGAAATGAAAAGTATCGCTGCCACTAGCATCACCAAAAAGAATTCCAACCTTCAAATATAGACATCTTTTTTCCCAATAATTTTTCAAAGTAAAAAAACCCTGAAGTTCATTATGTTAAGTAGAAGGTACCTGATCGAACTCTCTCCCAGCAGCAAGCTGAAGGATGTAAACAATGGAATCTCCTTTCATCGGCTGTAAAGGTTCCCATGTGATTTCGTAAGTGTTTTCTTCCAGCTGATTTGCTTTGGGTGCTAGAAAAAAGTGATTTGTTGGCATTAAAAAAAAAAAAAAAAAAGAGAACAATGGTTTCCACAAGTGTTCTTGTATTTTCAATCAGAAGAAAAGGTCAAAAATCACCAATTATTACTGTGACTCATTTTCACAGTTAATGTAGCAAATTTGCACTGGTTTCAGTGACAACAAGGAAATTTTCTCACTCTGTCTTGAAGTATGCTTCACTTTTGTATGTTTTCCATTTAAAATATTTCAGTTCTAATGCAAGTGACTGGGCAGTGTAAATCTGAAAGCTGAAGGTTTTTTCCAATATATTTGTTAACACAGTAGAGGTAACTGTTGTTCTTACAGGTAACAGTCATTCCAATAATTTTAAGCAATTAAGATTTGTTTCACTTTACTTTCTTTTTCTTTGCTATATTACATGACAAACTTAAAAAAATGATCATTGTAATATTTGTAGGTTATACTTGTCTTTCTTTTTAAGCTGACAAGATGCACTTCTGATGTTTAATGCTTGTCCGGATGAGCAAGCACTTTCAAATCACTAGAGAAAACAGAATTTATGTCTGGGTATCTCCAGAGCTGACATTACATGTTATAAACACAACTGAGTCAACTAATTTTCCTGCAGGTAATTACCATTCTGATCTTCAAAACGACTTTCTCTAATAGTCATCTTTAATATTCATATTAGAAAGTGAAGATCAGAGGAATTGTGTTCTCATTTGCCTATATGCTGTTGTAACTTATATTAAATGATAGATAAACCTGTAAAATGACCTTCCAGTTGAAAAAGGGAAGAAGAAATCCTCACTGTCAGGGGTGGAAGAGCTACAGCGTAGGAGATGACCTCACACCGGTCCTACATCAGTAGAGCCCTTCTTATACCCAGATAAAGCCCATCACAGCTAATTTGTGTTCTCTGTTCCGCAAAGGCCCTGGAAAGATGCCTGGCTAGGAAGAGTCAGGTTTTAGCATTTCACCCAGTATGTAAATGGCTTGCAGAAGTTTGTAGCGTAGGGTAAGCTCACCTTTAAGAGATGCAGGTGGAGACTTAGTTGTAGTAAAAGCGTAAACTTCAGAAAATTCTCCCTCTCCAGCATCATTATATGCCTGGATTTTAAAATAGTACGTAGTGGATTCACTGAGCCGCTGTACCTTGTATGTATGACAAGGACCATTATAAACAGTAACAAACCTGGAAGAAAAACACAGAATACATACAAATTAGAACTATTCCGTAATCACAGATTTGTATGTCAATATCGTAAGTGGAACACTTTCATATCTAACGTAACAATACATTCTGAGTACCCCAGCTTTCTACATCCATGCACAATGAATGTTAGGCAGTTTGAACTCTGTTACTGTCATCAACAGTTCATGATGTGCATTAAATCAGCAACACACACCATTCATACTGGTGGAAGTCTTAATTCACATTCACAAAGCACTCATTCAACCTGGCTAGGCACTAAGCTACACCCATACACAGGCTACCACTGAAACTACATGACCAAACTCTTGATTTGAATCAAGGGAATAACCCTCGTATATACTAGGCGAGTTGCAATTTCAAGTTAAAGAACAGCCGTCAACCTCACGTTTCTTATATGCAAACTGAACTTCATTTTAGAATTTCCAAAAAAAAAAAAAAAAGGGGGGGGGCAACATAGGAAGATGGTAAGATATTACTATTTACATAGTAAATAGCATTTACTGTTTACAAGTTAATACTAGTGCAACAGCTATTAACAGCATTTCTGATTGAAAGATGTGATACAAAAATGCAAACTAAGCGGGAAACTTTGGGATGCCCAAATGACTTACTCATGCAAACAGAAGTGAGAATACATAAAACGTCTTAAAAACTTGATACAAATTTGTAAAGCAACAACATCTGTAATGTTCTGATTATCTTACCTGCCAAACCTGTCCTCCATCTGCAAGTTGAATTGTGTAGGGTTGGTAATTAAAGCTCTGCTAGGACCTTCACCCCATTTAAGTTTAAGGCTCTGGTAACTGAAGACCACACATTCAAGGTGAGGAGGGTCAGGAGGTAGTGGTTTCGTTTTGGCTTTAATGGAATGACTGAAAGGACCAACTCCAAAGCTGTTTATGGCCTGTATTCTAATTCTAGAAACATGAGAAGAGCAGCTGGATGGTTAATTTACTGAGTTCCTGAAAAAATGCTAGGTAATAAAGCAAGAGTTAAAATTTGTGAAGAATATAACCACAAACAATAAAGCAATTAACATGCAGTTAGAAATTAACCATAAAAATGATCTACTTCAAAACAAGTCAACATAATTACATTGTTTTCAGCATAATGAAGCTTCAGTGTTTCTCAGTATTGTTCAGGTTTATTCTGTTCAGTGAACAAGGGCCCCGGTCCTCCACGTTAACCTGAACTGTTTGCCTCCCCCTGACACTGGAGATCCACAGTCTGAACTAAGCTTAAACCAAGCCTAAGCATGCAACACAGGAACAACTATTCTGCTCTTATCTGTACTTTCATCCTCTTTTGGCAAGATGTTGATTACACGCATTCCTTCCAAATAAAAAAATTCTAAACCCAGAAAACTTATTATAAAGCCTTGGCTGTGAGACAGCATGTTAACCAGGCAAAACAGTCTGTAAGCTGAATAAAAAATTGCTCTAAAATTTTAAAACACTACCGTCAAAGCTACTGATTGAAAATCCTACAAATGTGGTTTCAGAATAAAATGATTATTACCTGTACAGAGTGTCAGGCAGCAGATTCTCAAGAACATGGCTTGTATTTCTTCCAATAGTTACAAGCTGTTTCTCTCCATATTCTATATTATACCCAGTGATCTCTGCCCCATGACAACATGGTTCTTCCCACTGAATTGCAAGGCACGTTGATAAAGGAAGAGACGTTTCCATTTGATCTTCTTCAAGTAAATGCAGTACTGACACTGCTGCAGGCACTGACGCAGGGGTTGTCACCACACCAGTCTCGCCAAACAACCCAACTCCAGCGACATTCACAGCCTGCAAGAGAGAACATGTATTGTTTACTGAATCTACATTTTTCTAACCGGATAGTCACATCTATCATGCTTCCTTTTGCATGTTATCAAAAGCAATTTGGAAGAGAATGGAAAATCTCCCAAATAAAATGTAAATACGGCAAAATGTCTGGTAATTAATACATCACTAGATCTAAACCTCTTTTCTAGATACATGTAGTAATGAGGGACTGGGGGAGAAGGGAAAGTATTTTTACCTATTACCTTCTATAGTACATTAGTAGGCAACTATATAATTTTCTTCATCTCCAGCTGAAGTCTTTCTTCAAACTCTATGTATTTGTTCATTTGCTTAGTAACACATAACAAGAAGCTTTTCATACCTGTACTCTGCAATAATATGTGGTTGCAGGTGTGAGACCTTTTACTTCATAGCTCTGGCAAGGGCCAGTGTAAATGATATGCATCGATCCTTCCACCTGTCCCCAGTCCAGTCTGTATTCACTGATTTCTGCACCATTGCACACAGGACTCTGGGTTTAAGAGAGAAATTTTCCTTCAGCTATGGCACATACACACATTCACCATACGAGTGGGATCTCTCGTTACACTGAACAGAGACACTGGAACAGAAGTGCTGGGGTAGAAACCTGAGGTTTTTCCCACCAGAGCCGAGGGCATGATTTTTAAGTTCAGCTTGTTAACAGGTTTCCATCTAGACACATGGCTATAACACCACCGCGCTTCAGACCAGAATTTTGAGTGACACAATCTCTTACCACTTGGATGAATTAAATGTATTATATACTAGTTACCATACCATGAGGAGGATTAAATGTCACCCAGTTTATTCAGTTAAGATGGAAATTCATAGCTGGCAAAATTTACAAAACCAATGTACCCCTCTATCATAAGATGTGCTTAAAACATCCCACCTCTACATTTGCTGTTTCTTCCATTTCCGTGTATCATACAAGTGTCACTACAATTCTTAAAGCCAAATATTAATTTGTGTTTTACTGAGTATCATTAAAACCTACCTCCCATGAAACTACAGCACAAGTTGCACTTTTACATGTTATCAGGGGTTTGCAACATTGATCAGGGGGTCCTGGAGCAGTAGAGATCTCTGCTTTGTCAGAGTGAGGGCCAAACTGCAAGAAAATACAAATGCATGAATACAGCAACAGCAGCAGGGCAAAAACTGATGTGCAAGTGTATGAGCTGAAGAAAACAAATTATTTTTAACTTGATAGAGAAATAAATAGAAGAGTTCAGTGCTTAGTTTCACAGTTCCGTTTAAAATTCCTTTCAGGTAGTTTACTTTGTAAACTGGCCCTGTGCCTACAGGATATCAGCAATCCTCCCACTGCTATGGTTGTGTAACTCCTCCTTCCCCTGTAGTCAGGATCTGGTTTCCAGAAGCAGCTGGGTACTGTTTCAGAAAGACTTTTATGCAACCAACATTTATCCCAACCTTTTTCAAACCTGGCATTATTTGAACACACCCCTCTCTACACAATACTATTCCCACACCACCAATCTGCAAAGTCCATGCTAACTGGAAAACGTAAGGCAATTTCTTAAGGCACAAACTTTAAGTGGCTATTCACGGCCACAAATGGAGGACTTACACTGCAGTCAAACAAATGACTAAAAGTAGTAGTAATAGAATGTCTAGCACTAACTTGGGACTAGTTACCTTAGGTACTGACGGTAATCCAGTAAACAACAGAAACACAGTGAACATCCCCTTAGTCAGGGACATTCAATCCTTCCTTCAGGCCTAATTTATTGAATCTTCCTTAAATCATTTTTTTACGCTGTGAGAAATTTTGCTCCTTCAACAGAACTATGACAGAACATAGAAGCTGCAGTGTATTACCAGGATGAAAGACAATAGTATCATTACTTTTTCCATTATTGATCTTGTTAGCATAGTGGTTTACCCCAACTTTATTTCCTGCTCGTATCCAGAAGCAGTATGTTCTCCCTGGAAGTAGATTGTTTACTACGTATTCAGATGCTGGACCCTGATACACTTGTCTGCGTTCATCTTGTTCAGAGTTTGCCATCTCTATAATGTATTCCGTAATGTCGGAACCTCCATCTACAGATGGTGGACCTATGGAATAAAACAAGAATTTTTTTCCTTATTAATTTCACAAAACACTTTCTTTTAAATAGTTTTTAATTAGCCTGATTCAAGCTAAAAGTTGAATCAGATGAATTCTAAAGTTAGAGTGCAGGCTTTTAACATATATCTGAGCAGAAACTCTTTATGAAGCTTGCTCCTACCTCCCCCCTGCCCCCCCGATAGATTAGTTTAAGATGGCCTTCATCAGGTTTTTTTCAGATGTTTTTCACATATTTCCTTAAAAAAAAAATAAAATTGTATCTTCATTGCTTTTTTATTATCTCCTTTACTGAGATAAAAATAAGAGGAGGGGGGTTGATTTTCAAATTGCCAACCACGTGTCAGTAACAATGTGTCAGTCAGCAAGCTTCCTCACTGTAAGACATCTATGTCTGCTAAAGTCTGAACATGCATGCATCACCAAATCAGAGGTGGCTAGCAAGCTTTGTTCTTAAAAAAAAACAAAAAAAAACCCCAAAAAAAACCCCAAAAAACCAAAACCAAAACGAAGGACATGGACTACATCCCTGAAAAGTTCTACAGATTTTTCATTTGTATTCTGACATTTAACATCAGAAAAATATTTTGCTCAGAAATACTGGAGCTTACCCCACTGTAAAGTGATTTCCTTGGGCTTAGCTTTGCCTGCCAGGCATGGAGCATGACACGGTCCAGGAGGAACAGCTGATGTTGTAACAGTCATAACATCAGAAGCCTAGCAATAATACATATTATTTTAGAGTGCAAACACAAAGCAACGTTTCACTAAAACATAAATGGAAATGGTTTTCAGCAGCAACTTTACTCTTATTTTTCTCACCTGGCTTTCACCACCTTTACTGACACAATAAACTCTCATTCTGTAAGAAGTGCCAGGCTTCAGATGATCACATACGTGTTCTCTCTGGGAACCACTATATATGGTGTCCCATTTACTTCCTGAGGAAAAAGAGAAAATACTTTACACTACAAAACTTATGCAAAAATGAACCTTGAAAATTCTCTCACACAATTATTAAGAGCTAATCAAGCCACAGAATCCAATTTGAATGATTAATTATGCAAAGAACATGTACAACACAAAATACACATGTGAAATCTGAACAGTAATTGCTAGAGTAATGAGGAGTGAATCGGTACACTGAATTAGCACAAGCTGAATTAGTACTTTAAGATGATTGCCTACCAACTGATGCTTCTGAGATTTCCAAAAAGTACTTAGAAATGTCTGATCCTCCATTATCTTTGGGTGGTTCTGAAAGAAATCAACATCTTAAAATAAATTATAGAAGACTTAAAAACAATGCATTATTTTGCTATCAGCTTTTTCAGAGACCATATACTCAAGTAGAAACTCAATTCAAAACAGAAACAGAAAACAGCGTACTTATATTCACAATATATTTTCCAGAACAATGATTTTTTTCTATTATTAATGGTGATTACGCCATGAAGAAGGAAAATACTGCCAATTTCAGGTATCATCTCTAATTTTTTTAGGAACGTATGAAAATTATTTAAGCATCACAGTAAATCTAGAGGCTATTACAATAGCATTGACTGCTTCTCTAAAATGAATAATGAAAAACATTAGTTTTGTACCACAGCCCCAGTACAAACCAAAAAAAGTTTTTTGGTAATGCTGAATATTTCTCCTGCAATAACAATATCTGCAGAGACAAATAATTAGCCTGAGTTAGTCCCTGTTTCTTAATCTGCACTACTGAGTGACTGTACATACCTAAGCAGCACTCAAATACAGCGTTAACAAAGGGTAACCTACCCCACGTAACTTTCACGCTGTGCGAATGGATCTTGCCCTTTACCATTGGTTTACTTGGTGGTCCAGGTTTGTCCGGATTGGTGCTGTGTTCTACCACCTCACTCGGACTACTTTTTCCTTCACTGTTGTAGGCAAAGAGCTGTTTCAGGAATGAATTGGAATATATAATAAATGCTTGATTTAGTGACAAGTAATATCCCGCTGATATATAAAGGTCTTCCACGCAAAAAAAATGCCCCCCAAAAAACCCAGAAAAGACAACAATTTAAGAGAAAACAAAATTAGCTAGTACAAAAAAAAATTTAGTTGTGTTATGATTCCACCAAAAGCTATTATAACAACACAACTATTGCAGGTAATTTTCTGCCGTCTCCACAGAAAGTGTCTTGGCCCTATGCAAATGCTACAACTCCAGAAAGGCATATAGTCATAACTGAATTAGAAACAAAGTATAGTACAAACCCTGAACTTATATGATGTACTCCTCCTAAGATTTCTTAAAGTGCATGAGAGCTCATCTCCATTGTACTGTGGTTGGAAACCGTAACCCTGTAAAGAAGGGAAAATAAGAACACACACAGTCACTAATTTTCCACGATAAAATGTAAACCAGAGCAGATTGTTCAAGTTTTTTTTTTAGCTTGAACTTCATCTTTGTTTCATGAATACATGCAATACTTGCCAACTGTTGCAGTATTTTGTAGATGTTATTTAAAAGTAAAATACGGAGTTAATTTTTCATTTAAGCACTACTGCATATCAAACTTTACACATCTAAGAAAACCCAGCACTTACAGAACCTTCTTCTTCCATGTCTAAACTGTAAGTGAGAGAGTCATCTGAAGACACCCCGTGAGGTGGGCTCCACTTCACTGACAGCCAGGTCACTCCTGCTTCAACGAGCACAGGGGGCGATGGGGCTGGTG